ACGAGTCCCAAATGGGACGAAACGCGAGTACTGGATTCCACTGCTAGTCACTATCCATCTTATATATATATATATATATATATATATATATATAGTGGTATAGAATAGATGGAATGTGGCTAGCGGTACCATTCAGGATAGGTGTTCCATTCTATTTGGGGCCTGTTAGTTAATGTTGGTTTTTTTAATGTTCAGTACCAAAAACTATTACTTTAAAATTACATTATATTTATTCACGAAATAAACAGTTAGCTTCAACTTTTACATTTATTTAATAAAAATAAATTAAGATAAAATCAAACTATTTTGATGTTTGATTATATTTCCTTGTAAAAGCTTGGACCGGATTGCCAGGCAAAACTTTGGATTTTCTTCAAATTAATTCGCTGATATTTTACAAATATATATTATTCCTATTTAATGTCTTTCATCAACTCAGCGCCCAAATACTGTGAAACTATTCGCTCTAATTTAGACGAAGGTTCTTATATATCAAACTATTTTTGTTACAAAATTTAATGATTGATGTGTATGTGAAATTGTTACTCTGAAAATAATAGGAATGCAATTCTGTCAAATATGTAAGAAATTTTTTAGGTCTATACACAAATTTTATTGACTAATAAACAGCAAAGTCATTTTCACTGTTCTGTATTATCTTTTATCTGCGTAGGAAACAGAGATCCTGTCAAATATTTGATATATATATATAATGCATCAGAAACTGGGTGAGGTATTTCTAGGAAATTTATTCAAACGTATTAGGATCAATACTGCGGTACATAACATAATGTTTTGGTATTCAATGTATAGTTAAAATCTCCATGTTTATATCATATGAACTTGATACTTTTTCTTAAATTAAAAAAGTTCCATGAATGAAGTTCTATGTCGACTTGTAAGTTGCATGGAACACTGCTCTGTTAACAGTTTGAATTTTTGAAACATCAGATCTTAATTATTCCGAGGCACCTTGAATATTTTATTGGATTTTGTGCAAATTATTTTTAATCTTTAGTGTTCATAATTTTGTTAAAGAAATTTTCATTGATAAATTATTCGGGTGCTTTATTTTTTAACCTAATGAACTGAGGCGTTAATATACCAGTTAAATGCAATTTAAACCAGAAACTAGTAGTAGTAGTAGTAGTAGTAGTAGTAGTAGTAATAGTAGTAGTAGTAGTAGTAGTAATAGTAGTAGTAGTAGTAGTAATAGTAGTAGTAGTAGTAGTAGTAGTAGTAATAGTAGTAGTAGTAGTAGTAATAGTAGTAGTAGTAGTAGTTGTAGTAGTAGTAGTAGTAGTAGTAGTCTTTATGAGAAAATTACCATAATGTCATTTAATTAAAAAGTAACACAGTACTTAAAATAATGACTATAATCTTACTGTAAGAAAATTAGAATTGGAAATATTTTCTAACTTGGTGATATTTTACACGATACAATGTGGGTGGAGGATTATGAAATCCCCCAATAATCGGGAACAACTTAATCCAATTTTCGAACCTGTAATCCCAATAATTTATGTTCTGACTACTGGATTACCTCTTGACAAAATACCTAACGAGATTAGCAAGTTGCATAAAACTGATATGTTTGAATGACCTTAGATTAATAATGATTTAAGGAAAAGAGCCATGCTCTAAAGTACTAAACTACGCAGGCGATAGAATATTATTTCAATCGATACTAATTGTAGATGATCTATCCTTGGGAAATTCAAAAGCTATTTTAAGTTGTATTTATTGAATGGCCGGTAAACGTTTTTTTCTTTTAAAGAGAAACATAGTTTTATCTGAGGCGGTAATATGCTAAGAAAGTGCCTAAAATCACTCTGAAGCAGTTAGTGTTTTGATGTATTTCTTCTCATCTTGTTTGAATTTACTCTCTTTTCTCTCTGAACAACCATGGGTTTTTATTTTTCTGTCCTATAACTACTGGATCAAAGTAGAACATATTTTTTTATTTCCCTCTGTTCTTAAATAACGTAAAAGTAAGCTAATAATGGATTACATTCTGCAATCTAAGGATTTTTTGAGTTAAACTTTCTGTTAAATAATTTTGTGCAGTTAAGATAACATCAATAAGTTTTTATCTTTTATGTAACAACGGAATACTGAAGCTAACATCATGCGCTATAAAAAATGATAATTTATTTCACACTGGTCAACCTCATCATAGAACCCTCTTTATAAGGTCTGAATCACAACTGCATGGGATAAAAAGAATATGCCTATTTGCATTTTCATATACAAACATTCGCTTCATATTTGAATTTATTTTTTTACTTATAAAGATTAAAACAAAGTCTGTAAATGAATAAGAAAAATATACTTCATTCATACGAAAATCTCTGCTATAATCAATCTATCCTTCTTATCTACAACGTCACATAAGTTGTTTTGTCCTCGCTTAGAACCTTTTTGTTTCTCAGAACACCTCGAAATATTCGAATTAAAGATTCGCGGATCTCCATCTAAAAATAATACACTCTGACCACTGAATCTGAACTCTATGGACTACATTTTCAAATTCGGACAATTTGTAATGACGTAACATTGACGCCTTATTATCAGTGATTTATTATCTCACTTTTGACTGGGCTCGCACGTCATTATACATATATATTATATACGCATCAAGTTATCTAGTGAAATAATATAAAATATCATTTTACCTTTATTATATTCTCATTTCTGTGTTCTAATAGTTTATATCAGCTAATATTATGACTAAGCTTGAGAGAGGAAAATATTACAAGTTGCCCTAAAAGTCTTTATAGAAATTGCTTCTTCACATACAAAACAGTAGTGCAGCTATTTAGTTTAAGGATTAGCCTCAGATAGTGTTGTAAATCATACTAACAGACGAGTTTTTTGTAAAAAAAAAGTTGGTAAATAGAAACTCTAATTGATTAAAAGTTTTATTTTTTTTTGTTATATTTTAAGTTTCAGAACAAAAGGGAATGTTACTGCTTCAAAATAAATTAATAAACCTCATCAAAGTGAAATATTTTCATCATATAAAAAAGAAAGTGACTAAATTTTTTTTGTGTAATAAAAATATAATCGTATCAAGAAATGGAACAAAATAAACAAAATTTCTTCAATCATAATTCGAGTAAGAGAATTTACAGAAGGTTTCTTGAATTTATATAAACTGTTATTCAATTATAATTTAATAGTAATTATACATATATATTGTTTTATCTCAATGAATAGAAGGATTGTATTTCTGACGTTACGTGACTTAATATGAGCCAATTCTTCAGAGTAAACAAATTAACACAAGTTGTTCAATGCGAATAAGAAAAAAACTAGTTCAAAAAGACTTTTGGATGAGTTATTGGGCAAAAACAAATAGAACAAAATTCTAATCAATTACATCATGATAAATGTATGATTTAAAAATTCCATGCACAATGAAAATGATTTTTAATTAAAAAATATTTACCTAATTATGACTAATAAACTTAACCAACAGAAAAAGAAACGGTTAGAAAACATTTATAACATTTTTTGAGGAAATTTAATAGATCAGCCAGAGAGAATCATCAAATACTACACCTTGAACGTTTGTTTCAGATCGTTTAACATTGAAGACAATAGCCTAATTAATTTCCGGTCTCAAACATTCTACATAGTTATTTCCATAAGGAACTAGGTTTCTTCATTGAAAAAAATATGTAAATAAAAGTAAACAAGGAGTAAAATGATAGCATGAAACTGGTTCAGTCTGTTGACCTGTTTATACCTTTAATTCAAGACACTTACATAATAGACTGCCGTATTCTAAGCATTATTCAATGACTTGATCATTCACACATTACATTCATTCAAAAATAAATATGTATATAATTCAGTTGAACAAAATAAAACTGATCCTTTGGTTCAATATTGTCATTTCATTTTCAAAGGGACGAATAATAAGTCATGAGATTGAATTCATTTAAGCATAAGAGTTGATCTTAAAGTTTGAATTATGACACTGTTATTCTTATCTTCAATTCACTGAACTCTGTAGTTCACGTTTTAAGCACTTTCGAAACATCCTTGAGTGTTGATTATGTTTAGAAGTATACTGTATAAAGCAACGAAAACAAAAGAAAAGCTTGTAATTATTCATTTTCTATTTATGTGAACAAACTTACTCCAATAACTTTTTAGTTACTATACCATACATTAAGGGCTTCCCAAAAGAACAATTTTTTATTATTCACAAACTCCAATAAACGTGCACGTGTTACACATAATTAGTATCACGCTCCTTAAAACGAAGTCGCGCGGACCCCAACCAGGTAGTCTGCATCTGCAAACATGGCTCAGACCAGAAGTTAGTGACTTTATGTACTGATACCATGTTTTGGTTTGACCGCCCCTAACTTTCTTCCATCCGTCTCCAACACTAGTCAGCATTGCGTGTCGTGGTATTCGGTGGTTGACGATGCGTGGCACAACCATCTCAGTCGATGTAGATCCACAACCTAATCAACTGATTTACCATCATTCCTTAATACCCTGCATCTAAACACACTATTACTTACCTGGTCAGCCAGCGACAACGTAGGACCAGGCCTACATTGCACGTCGTGGTAATCGATGTTCAGGCATACGTAACACGTGGCCCAACCATCTAAGTCGATGAAGATTCGTCACCTCATCAGCTGATTTACCATCATTCCCTAATACCCTGCGTCTAACCTCACTATTACTTACTCGGTTATCACAGCAGATGTGAGCAATATTTCTAAGGCATCTGTGGTCAAATACTAGTAACCTACGAGTATCTTCTACTCTTAATGGCCATGTTTAGCAGCCGTAGAGCAGAACAGAGCGAACTGCTGCGCAGTATACTCGTCCCTTAATTGATAGATGGATATCTCGTCTTCGCCATAGGTGACGTAAGTTGGCAAAAGCTAAACGAGCTTTTTGAATCCGTGAAGAGATTTCGTCAGACACCAACCCATTAGGGCTGATCAGACTTCCAAGATAAGTGAAGCTGTCGACGCGTTCGACTACTTCACTCCATAACCTTAGTTCAGGTGTTGACGTAGGCCAATCATGGAGTAACAATTTACATTTAGAGGGGGTGAAACGCATCCCAAATATCCTGGCATTGTTACTCAGTGCCGACAGAAGATTCTGCATTTTATCAGAGCCTTCACCAAACAGGACCATATTATCCGCGTATTCTAAGTCGATAAGTGAACCTCCTGGTAGGAGATTAATCCCCGGAAGTTCATTCGACGAGAAAGTTATTTCCAGCAGTAGGTCTATGATGAAATTGAACAGAAATGGAGATAGTGCACAGCCTTGTCAGACATTACTTGTGGTCGCGAAGTCAGGTGACAGTTCGCCATAAGCTGTGACTCGACTGGTAGTGTTCGAGTAAAGAGTCTTCACATGGTTTATGTACTTCTGAGGTACACCTCTCAATGACAGACACTGCCACAGAACCTCTCGGTCTACATAGTCAAATACTGCTTTTAAGTCAGGAAAAACTATCATTGTTGGATGCCGATAAGAATACCTGTGTTCTAAATCTGATGAATGGTAAATTCGTGGTCGATACAGTCACGACCAGGCCTGAAGTCGGCCTGTTTTTTTCGTGTTTGCAGTTCACAAGTCTTAGTTAGGCGCCCGATAATTATTGTGGCAAGTATTTTAGATGCTATGTTAGTTAGACTAATCCCTCTATGATTACCACAGGATTATTTTGACCCCTTCTTATATATTGGGACAATAAGTGATTGTGACCAGTCAGATGGGATATCGTCTAACTCCAAAATGTTTTTCATACTTGCTTTAACTTATTAACCATTCCATCAAACAAAATTAACATCAAAAGATGACCCAAGAGAAGCTCTCTAGCACCTTCTTAGTATGGAATACGGTCTATATATCATCAATATTGCATAAAAATCTTTATTTAATTATGTAGCTGTTAGATAATAAAGTGTGAAACGGCGGTTTCTTCCAATTTCCTTCCTGACTACAATTAAATCTGCAGCTATTAAAGTGTAAAGCTAAATCACATAATATTATATTTGGTAGTTTAAAAAATGAAACGAAACATATTTTTTCGTTTATGAAATCGCGGTCATCAGATTAAGTGTTTTAACTTTCGTCCACAAGTTCAGTGAATGTCGTTAGTGACTTGATGAGGATTTAGTATTTCTTTCATTTAATAAACCAAGTGAAAACCACCTAATTCTAACATCCACCACCATTCAGAAACCATAACCATTTCTCATTCCAAACCGATTACCAGTTTAAAATACTCAACAGCACGGCTTTTACCAAGAACAAAGCATTAAGCTCAGGTTGTTAGGACAGATGGGGGCCACACAGTTCATGTATAGTTTCTTTGATCCAGTACAATGTAGAGTTTTTTCCACGTTACAATTAAATTATGCAAACTTAAATTTTTGTAATAAATTAAACTGCTTTATTAACTAATGTATGAAGTTTTTACTCTAGTTGCATTACTCAAACGTTGATAGTGACACTTACGGAAATCTAAACATTTCCAATTGTGTGACATAATAATAACTGCACGACAAAATGTAGTTGCTTTTTATGCATTTAACAACCACGTAATTTCCTTTTCGAGCATACATTGCTCATTTAACATACTGTAAAACAAATAAGCTTCAGCAAACGATTCCAATATTATTTTCTGTGTTTATTTAACCTTTCTCATAAAACAAATGAAAAGCTAAAATATATGTAACCCACAAAGTTTTGTCTCCGAGATACAAAACACTTAGTAAACAGAGTAATACTTCCTTATCTAGTGACAAGTAGCGAATTAAAAAGACTTGAAAACTTTGACAACCATAATATTATGTTAACATGAATCAAATGCCTTCAGAAGGCTAATAAGTTAAGCATCAGATGCAAAGCTAACGACCAATTCAGATAACCTACCGATAGTCCTCCAGAATGTCGTTCTCGCATGATGTGAATGAATTCATTATAACTAAGACAATTATCTCCATCACGATCAAATAAGGCAAACAAGACTGTTAAAACATCAGAGCTTAATTCATTACCGATGCATGCTTTAACAGCTCGCTTAAATTCAGCTAGAAAAGTTTGAAAAATTAAACGTGCGTAGAAATAATTAAGAGATCAAGAAATCAACCAAAAAAAACTTTACTATAACCTTAGATGTTGTGAACATCGAATAATGTTGTGTTAACCCACTTGAAGTATTAGCCAAGCCGTCTAGTATAATCCAGCTCTAATCATATTGCTCACATACATCATTTGTCACAACTAGATACATTTAAGAAGCAAGCCTAATTGAAGTTTCATCCACGATATAAGAGTCGATAAATTTGTGGCTACATAGTTTATATCAACTGTAATTTGTTCTTTCCTCATCAACCATCGAAGATAGACCTGTTGGAGGGCAGTAGGACTAAAAGTTCCAGGTCACTGTTTTGAAGCAAGTGTAAACTCTCAAATACACCCAAGTTCCAACGAAAACGTGGTTTTTCTAACAAATAAACAGCACTAGAAGAGGTGCTAAAAGAGACAGTGAAAGGAATCGAAATAGCTCAAGATCAGATATGGTATAACTACTAGCCCCATGAACCTCTAATGCCGACAGTCATGTTCGATGGCGTGTAGAACTAACCGATTAAAAAGGACTTTGAATGACCAGCCGCGGGTGCTTAGAACTTGATCGAAAGTTGATAATAAGACCAATGAATTTGCTACATCCGTTTCTTTGTTTACACTAACACGTGAATGATACCATATTATAATTTGCATCTTAACGAAAAAAATGATAATTAGACTGATAAGTATCCTGAGATTCTTAGTAAGCTCACTGCTAAATATTGAATTTCTAAGATAATAATACGGATTATTATTCCAGTTTAAGTGGACAACTCATTATCCAGATATTTCATTGAAATATTATAAAACACTTTAAGGTACTTAAGGACAAATTTTTATGTTAAACTTATATTAACTTTCTGGAACATCGCCAAGAATAGGTTTCCCGACAGCCTGCTATTTTTTAAACTTTATTTACAGAAAAAGCAATGACATCACAAAAGTTTGGCTGACATACGTAGTGATATAGGCTGCCCTGCAATAGTGTACATTTTTACTGCCAGTGCGAAATCATCCAGACAGTTTAAAAACATGAAAAATTTCAGAAATTCGTTGAAGGTTATTGCCTGCAATATGGTTATAAGTAAAATAAACTGAACGAACTATATTCGGTGGAACAGCTTTTTTAAGTCGATTTATGAATGCATCATACTCAGAAGCAGATACCGTGGTATAACGAAGAATAATACGAGCGAAGTCGACTGGTGTAATTGCAGATGAGCCTGAAGAAAACTCCTGAAATTCAACCTCTAATGCTTCCGTTTGAACATTACACATGAATCTGCTAAAGTAAAAGTTTACTTTATAATTTTACCTTTTAAATTCCTCAAAGCTCAAGTTATTAGCCTTATTATAGCCAAATAGGTGAGCCATTAGAGTTGTATTATAAGCTTGGTCTGACGGAAGCAACTACATTTTGAGGTCATCAAACAAGCTCTTAGCTTACAAGGTCATATGCTCCTCTATCGGTATCAGGCATATCATCGGTACTCTCTGCAATTATATGATTCAACTGAAATCATGATAAGTATATATTTGAACATCATCACTAACGATCATGAATTCCCTAGCGTCAACAGATCCGCTTAAATCCCTGTCAAGCATCTTGAATGCTATTTCGAAACCTGAAGGAGTTTCTGAAAACATGAATATCATCAAAAGTGTTTATACTTGTTAGTATATGGAGCAGAAACAAATATTCCGAAAATGTTATTATCCCATCGTTTTGAAGGTTTCTAAAAAACCGAGACCCGTATTTCTTCTTAGATGCCTTAGCCATTATTTTCTCAATAAATTGCGGTTCATTTGTAATCATCATTTTGACTGGTTATACCTCATAATGCAGGATAAACAACGATTTACCCTGCTTTTGATCACCAACCAAAGAACGTAGGAAATCTGAAGGGGTCATCAGCAAAACGCCGTTAAGTTGCAGAGAGGCGAAGGTACGAAACTTTTCCTCAAGCGATAGATGTTTAGTATCAGCCTTTTCATTCTGATTAGAAAAATTTATCTCGTAGTAGTTCGCTCAAACCTTCATTTTCACATGTTCATAACCATTGACAGTAAGGTAAAGTACTCCAGACAAAACAGATCCACATGCAGTTGCTATTATTACACCTCCCGTTTTCGTTCTAATGAAGGTGCCTACAAGTTCACCGATCTTACGGCAATAGCAATGCCACAACATGCGCAGAAGTATCAAAACACTTCGTATTTGTTACGAACAAATAACTATCCACTTAAATTGTTTACTTTATTATAACACCAGTAAATCTGACATTTTCAATTACTAACTTTTTCCTGTGAAGCTGTGGGTCACCAGAATTTTTCTCATGTTTTTCAAGTTCGTCTTAGTATATATGAGCCGAGGACCATATAATAATTTTTATTCAATTTTTTTCCTGTTAAATAAAGCCGCCTATATTTATAACTCTAACGATTGTTGCTCCAACTACTCTATATACATCGTTTTAGTTCTAGGATAGTGCCAAAACCTCAAATCACTCCATTCTCAACCAAATACAGAATTTTTATTTGTGTTGCAAGGGATCTCAGTTTGTCCACATTCCAATGAAAGGAACAACCTCTGAAATTAGGTGACTGAACTGTTGTCACTATAAAAGGCGAAACGCTGGCAATTATAACACCCATAAAGGTCATTAACTGTGTAGGCAAAGGCTTTGTATGCCTCTTTCTAAAAAATTAATTAACTCAAGAGTCTGTAGCGGTAAATAAATGCTTAAGATCAATAGCTTAATATGTCTTCGACTTTTGGTGCTGACTGCATTATTTTTAGTGAACTCACCTAGCTGAAGTCACTCGGTCACGCATCTGCACCAGATTACGAGTGCAACACATCTTCTACAACTGCTAGTGGGCTTAGATTAATCACTTCCCGATATATTGATAGCCAATCAAATATTTTTTAAAACTTCGCTTCTGACTTTTGACTAGACTGGGTTGAAAATTTTGATTACAAAAGGTGTTGCCGGTCGAAGTGTTGTCACACTCTGAATACTTGTGATACCTTGAAGTCCTTCCAGTCCTCTTCCGATTGGGATAACAGACCTGTTAAATATTTTGGATCCCGACTTATCAATAATTCCTCCAGGATACGAAAGCAGCCAAAAGCGTTGACCCCCATGATCAAGTAACTTACTTTATTTCAGACCGTTAAGCAGTTACAAAACACCGTACTTCGTGACAAATGCTGATTAGGTCATCTGTATTTCAAATTCACGGTCGTGTTGCATGTTCATATTGTTGTCTCTAGTTTGAAGTTATCCAAGTTATTCTCACAAGCCCCGAGCCTTGAATTAGATAAATATATACTAATATTTTAACTGGACAATCATAAAACCCAAACTATTCTTTTCTACAATGTGAGTAAATAATTATTTTGTGCCCTTCAGGCTGCAATCTTTAGCCAATAGGTAACATACATTACGAGGTCTTTTAGAGTCATTCCAAAATCACTTATGATTTTAGACTGATTTAGATTCCGTGCTCCGTGGTCAGTTGTAAAGAGTTTATCTTAAAACTTCCACATCCCTTACTAGCCCAAAGCCAACTCCTGTATAATCACTGTTATAATGTCTCCCTATATGTTCTCGGATATTTATTAAATAAGTAAATTTAACATACCCAATCTTCAAACAATCCCTAATGATCAGTGATACTACTATTAGATGTCTGATTAGTCTGTATTGAACAACGAAAGTGTTTCGGAAGTGAAATTTAGAGCAGTTACCTCCAACATTGAAAGGACTCAAAAGAACACTTAGTTTTTTTCACAAAAGCCTGGCAAAAGTCCCATTACAGCAGTTCATATTGGAAACCCCTAAACCTCTAAAACGTCGTCATAAATGCTTGCATTCTGTCGCAACTGGATTCCCTATTAAGCATGATGAAGTAATGGATAATCAAAGTGACCTTCTAGAGTGAAGAGTCGTGCGTGCATCAAAATTAGTGTTTTGAAGATGCAACAGAAATATCTTCAATGACAGTACTGCTATTCCTTGAATTTACTCTCCCTCTCTCGTAGACATCGAATCGAGGTGTTGCATTTTCGGTAAAGAACTCCTAGCTATATTGCGCTGTTCGGCACTCAACTAAAGGCCGGGAATATACTCTTTTCAACGATCACAAACCAAATACCTCTTTTTTAAGCTTATATTCAGACAATTACCAGCATCGAGAGTCTCGACAACTGGACTACATTTTGCAGCTTACTTCAGATATACAACACATTCTGGGGCAAATAATGTAGTCGCAGACTCTTCGTCTCGTACAACTTCCTTGAACAGTCCTCAAGGAATCGACTTTTTAAACTCACCGGGCTTCAAAAAGAAGACACCGATCTTCAGCACAGGTTATTTTCAACAACCCTGAAACCGAGTGTTAAACAGATGGAAACAGGCAAAGGAACCTTACCAAGCGACACATCTACAGGTAGAGGTCGTGGAATCGTACCGCAACATTATTGACTCAACGTCTTGAATACTTTTCACAAGCTTTTTCATTCGGATGTTCGAGTAACCGTCAGGCTCGTAGCAGAACTATTTTGTGTGCTTGGAATAAATAAAGGCATGAGAGAGTGGGCACGCTACTGCGTAAGCTGCTAGGAATCTGATTTGATTAAACACAACAAATGTCCCTTAGGCATTTTCGAAACTCCCGATGCTCGTTTCGACCATGGTCTGGTTTTAACATCATGTCACTTCTAATGAATACTCCAGTCAGCGTATGTTGTAGATGAAGCCACATCCTTTATAACTTGAGGATATGTAGATTCAACATTATCTTGTGCGGGGGGGGAAATATTGAAAAAGTCAATCATCCATATTCTAGATGTCAGTGTTTCAATACACATTCAGCACTGCAATTGTATACAATTCCAGGATCCAGGTGAGTCCCTTCCGATTCCAGTTGTTGACTCTAATACTAAATAGTACACTCTAAGTAGTACAGAACCTACATCTACTACACAACTGAACAGAAATATGATGAACCTCTGAGGAAGAGGTGCAATCGACCACAGAAACTTGGATCCTAAAGCATGGTTGGTCTTCAAGTGTAGACAAACTGGCACTTAACATACAGGCTATTAAATATTGTGATTTCCTCCCCTGTTATTGATTCCTACTCCGAATTTACTGACCGAGAATGCTTGTCTCTGTAATGAAGAAAGCCTTATCTAGTGTTAATGTAGTTCCCTATATAGGATTGTGAGTCCCGGTGTCGATATAACATGATCAGTCTTTTTATTAAACTAGTGTGTTATCGTCGTAAAATTAGGAGGGAAAAATACTTTTAATTATCCATTGTATCACATGGTATTGACTTTAACATCATCTAGGTTAATACATCCAAGTTTTTGCTCTTTTTATTTTTTCTAACTCGGTAGATCGACTTACGATCAAAAATAATCATAAAATAAAATCTTGATTCAAGCACCAAAGTTTATTCGCAAATTACAAGTAATGGACAAAATACCGTTCTAATAACAATTATAACATTTATAAAACAAATCTTATATTTTTTGGTTTTCGTTGAAAATACCACAGGTATTTGGAGTTTGACAGCGCTTTAGCCAGTAACACTTTCTACTATAAATCGTACCGACCTAGTAAAGTCAAAAGTCAAAATCAATAGGGTTCGAAGAAATATATGATAGTTTATCAATGTATCGAGAATCGATCTAGGCTAATTGGTGATTGCAAGGGTTGTTGAACACGGCATTCCCACTCGTAATCTGGTGCGGATGCGTGACCGAGCACTTTCATCTTGGTGAGTCAATTAAAACTAATTTGGTCAGCATCCAATGTCTGAAACTTATTGTGTCACTGATTTTGTAGATTTATTTACCGCTACACAGTGATCAAAAGCTTCCAAATATCAAACCACAGATAAAGTGAAACCAGAATGTCCAAAGTGAAAGATACAAACGAACGAGCTTGAAAGTTGAGTAAAACAAATGCGTACAAAAACAGTGAAGTAATAAATAACCAATATGATATTTTTTAATCAGTCAAATGTCTTCTGTTCCACTATAGGACGAATCCGAAGACTTACTTAACTGAAAATATTAAAAAAACCATGAACTATTTCTTAATATTACGTCAAAAACACAAATACATCTTCAGAATATCGTGAGCTCAAAATTATGATGTTGGATATTGGGTGGTTGTTTAATCTTACTAACTTGATATTTCCATCAACTGTGAACCAAATTGTATTTTGCAGGGCGATGATCATTAAAGAGTTGTAGGTAGATTTGATGTATTTACTTGTTATTTGCAACTGTTTCCGGGTAATATTTGTTGATTTCGATTGTGGTTAAGTTTGAATCATGTAGCCTAGAAATGAGGTTTCATTCTTAGTCGATTATTTACCTATTGAGAACAACATCTTCCTTGAAATGACAAATAGTAACATTTACATGCGATATTTACTAATATTGAACGAATATCATAGGTTTTCATATGTCTCTAAACTCAATGTGCTTATGCGTGGTTTTCGTCCACACAATCAATAGACTTGAGTGTTTCATGTGACCGTTCTTATTGTAAAAGGTGTTCTATAATTAACCTAGGTGTAAATATAAATGGCAATATGGTTTGCTAAGTCAAAACAAAGCTTTCATGGTCACTTGGTTTGTTACTTAATGTTCACTGATTTCCACACCCTCTGCGACTTGCACATCTTCCGGTAGGGGATTTACACGGTCTTGTAAATTTGACTGATTGGTACTTCTCAACTAATATAACTAGTTTATTTTTACGCCATGGCATATTAATCACTGTCAGCTGGAATGTTAGCTGTTATGAATTATTTTTCACATGTAGTCACTATCAAAGCATTATCATTGATGTTTTCATCGTTAATATCTCCTATCCAGGTAAATAGTCTCATATTTCGATAGATTTGTATGCGGTTAGCTCATACTAACTAACTGGTCTGAAAAACTAATTCCACCAAAATAATGGGAAATTGTCTGTAACATAACTTCATTTGATTGTCAAGCCTACACATAGTTTATGTTCAACAATTCATTGCAGTCAACCGGCAACTCTTTATGTAGCTCACTAATCAAGTACATGTTCATGCACTTGTCCTCAACCACCTAGTTTTCTCAACGGCTGGAGATAACTAATAATTACCAAATCAGCATTTGGGAAGTTAAAATTATAATGTTTTTACAGCCTATCCATCTGTCTGCCTCTGCCCTTGTGTTATCGTATTCATCAAACCGGTTCACACCTGTAAACTCTTATCAGTTATTAAAATACCTACTCTAAAGTAATTTTCGTAACTGGTTTTATGTGGCTGCTAATAATAGTTCAATCTAATCTCTTCTTAAAGTTGTTCACCTTTGGATTTAGCACATTCTCAACATAGACTTTTTGCAAAACTGCCCATCGCACATGTTAGGACTAAAATTTAACACAGTAGTCTATCGAGAAGTATCAGTCTCATACGAAGAAAAATCACTTGAGAGCACCAATAGGGTCATGCTCCATTCTGAGCTAGTGTTTTCATAATATGAATACACTGAATTACTTTGAGGCTAGCAAAATATTGCCTCCGCATTGGCACTTAAGATGTCAGCAGTCCACTGCTTGGCTATACGAAATCTAATGGAAATAGGTCCACTTAATGTGAGATAGCTATTATGTTCCACACTAATATCCTGCTCAATTTTATGTTCATAAAAATCAAACAATTTTATGCATCATAGCATTTTCATGCATCCATTCCTAAATTAATATTATTAAAATCTGACTTGCTAAGTGCTCATTTTGAATCCCATGAAGCTTAGTTTGCAATTATTTGTTTTAACCACTTAAAAACGTTCATTTTAGTCAGTTTCGGTAAACAAGATATGAATCCCCAAATGTTTCAACAATAGGGGTATCTTAAGCGATAAGAATATAAGCCAATAGAAGACAAATCAGGTTAAATTTGGTTAGGTCATGCATAACTATTCAGCTTGTGCCGTATAAATAAATTTTATGTGTTTAAATTCGTAGGGTTTGTCTTTAAAACAAATACAAGAAGTTTATGAGTTTCCTGTTTCAAAATTAAATTTTGCGTCGTGAGTACTAAATTATAAGGCCGTCGAATAGGTCAATGTACTTCGAATAAAAGGCCGAAATGCCTGAGCGCCGTGGGTGTACTTGAATGCAATTGATTGCAAGTCCATAAACGAATAAATATCAATGTATTAAGCACTAAGCCATACATTGTGTGGAGTACTTTCCTCCTTGGTTTAATGTAGTTAAAAATGAGTTGAAGTCATCATACGCAAGTAGATCTTTAGAGATACATCATAGTACATCAGTCACCCCATCTTAATTGTTTAGGTGTCACCTATACCAGGTGAGACATAAGATATTGCTAGTGTATAAATCTTTTAGTTAACGTCCAACTATCCTTTTAGTATTCTGAAATGTGAGTATTTAAGGGTAAACGAGGTATCCGTATCTCCGTCGTCTTGCTATCAACGATACTTAGGTGAAGGAATATCTTTAATTTCATTCTTTTCTGGTCAGTAGAGTGTTTATAGTGAAACAAAGATTCTTATCAATTCCGTTAAAATACTGTTTCATTGTGTTTTATTTCCTATAAACTAGCGTAAAATCATATTGTACCATGTTTTTATGGTTTGCATTTACAGTTTTGCTGTTTGTAAAGTGGTATTTACTAGCTATAGTAAGGTTCATTGACAATAACTAACTTCTGAATATCACTATTAATGTAACGCTTGAGGAAAACTAGTTAGATCTTTAGCAAAACTTGACGACAAAGTTATCGGATATTGCACCCTTAGTTTAAGTAGTTGAACTGAAAAGAAACTGATAAATATTGCAAGCTCCTGAGAAATAATTCCTTAAAGTTAGATAGTTGCTTCCAAGATATAGTAAAATTTTTAAAAAAAACTAAACGATAATTTATTTGTAAAAACTGATTTCATCCAATTTATATATAGCTTATTTGATTCGCTAGGAAAATCACCCTCTTACTTTGCGTACCCGAAAAAGCACCATAAATGACCTTATACTGATCATAACAGTCCAACCTTTTTAAAAAATACTTGCTCATAAACACTGATTATTATTAATGCCATTATTACTAGTTGTTAATAGTCAGCTCATTTTTTATGGTCAAATCATTTTGCTTTTAACCACAAGATCTCAGGCTCAAAACTCGCTACACCTGCCTTGGTTAAGATAATCGATTACTATCTCCAGCAGCTATGCAAAAATAGTTTCTGGGAGCTGAATACGTAAATTTTTCCACAATAGACGGATTACTTATTCTTAATCTCTATCTCACTTTGGTCCTGATCTATCTAAAAAGTTGCCAGTTGGTTTTTTCTAGGAAGCTGCTACGATATCCAATACAGCCGTCATTAAACTATGGCTTCCTTACTCGACTTTCACATTTTGATGCAACTTTAGACCACTAAATTACGGTTCAAATCTCTCTTAGCTTAGATTTGAGAGGCCGAGTATTATCACTTTTCCTTTAAAAAACGCGTGTCTAAAAGATGAACACATGAGTCTATGGTTTATGACATATCCTCACTAAAAATCGTGTCGCGCCGTAGTTAGGTTCTTTGCCGGACGATTTCGAAGTATTTCCTATGGATTTTTCTCGGAGTCCTGTGACGTCAGTATTCGTTTCGCACTTGTTGCTAGTGTCTGGGCTGTATTCATTGGCTCGAGTCCCATCAGTAGCCTTCTAGGTTAAAACGTTTGGCTGAGATTTGAGACCTTTCTGTATCGTTTCGTTTTTTCTCGATCTTCACCCTTATTATTTCAATTACTGTTTGAATTCCAAGTACACTCCGCTCTACCTTTGGCATACATTTCATACCTTTTTCCTTACCACAGATTTTTCACTTTGTGCAATCTTGATGCAAATACAACTTCAGTTAAATTTTCCAAGAGCTATCAGTTACTAATGCTACAAGTACAATATTTCACGGAAAAAAGGACCACTAATCTGAGTTGTTTAGAAAGATGTAAAACTCTTAGGGAATGTCAAGATGGTAAAAACCAGTAGTTGTAAACCTTTTGTTCTATTTTACTCTTAATTAGTTTGTTACTCGTTGTTCATGTTATTTCTTAACTCGAACCTTTGCTTTTTAATGTTTTTCTATTCTTATTGATTCGCTGCATTCCCTTAGAACTTGGATTGATACACTTTGCTACACGTTCTTCATTCAGTCCTATCTATTATAATATTTTCCATGATGAAGGATGTAGCATTTCACTTATAGTACATAAGTATAACCCCCTTCCTGTTCTTTTCTCTATGTGTGTAGTCGCATAATTCTACCTTTAACGGTCGATGAATACCATGTTGGACAGCTCTGGGCTGTTGCAGAGGCATCCAAAAATGAAACAGGGGGTGGGGAAGGAATAGAGGTTCTGGTAAACGAACCATTTAATCTTCAAGTCAATCCTCCTGAGTCACCTTTAAAAGCTAATGGGGAAGAATTCTCTTCTGGGCAGTACACTCATAAACGCTTTTATCTGGCCGGTAAGGTACCTGGTTACGTACGTCTGCTTGCGCCGAAAGGATCACTTGAAATTGACGAAAAGGCCTGGAATGCTTACCCTTACTGTCGTACAGTTTTACAGGTATACATAAATAACTTCATAAATTTTTTTAGAATCCTAAATATATGCAAAATAACTTTACTCTGATGATTGAGTCTATGCACGTACAAGATAAAATTGATATCGAAAATGTAAGTACTGATTTTTAAAAGAATCATATTTTATCAGATTCACGACCTTCCACCAAAGCTCCTGGCTCAACGAGAAGTTGTATATATTGATATTGTAAATGATCAGTTGCACAGTGCTTCTGACTATGACGCAACATGTGATCCTAGAATATATCAGTCAGTAAAAACCGGTCGAGGTCCATTAGTAGGCCCAAGATGGTGGGAAGTGAGTATATTCGTATCTTCATTTATCTTATTTAAACAAATTGATTAGAATACAGATCTGCCAATAATGTGCGCCTACAAACTTGTCACATGTGAATTTAAATGGTGGGGTATTCAAGGCCGAGTTGAAAATATGATACAGACTGTATGTTACATGTAAAAAAATATAGGGTTGCATTTCTTACTTTCTTTTAAAATTATGTAGCAAGAAAGGCGAATTTTCCTTAATTTCAACCGTCAGGTTTTTTGTTGGCTTGATAAATGGCACGGACTTTCTATGGATGATATACGGACTATAGAAAATAAAACTAAGGAAGAATTGGATGAAGTACGTTTGTTTGGTGGATATAAATGTATGATTACATTTTCTTCTTTTTTGTTAGTCACATATTGCAAGTTGATCGAAATTTCTGAAAGCTTTTGTCTATTATTTTTAAGGACGTTGTTTGCTTAGTGAATAATTCAGTAAAGCACAAACGATACTTGACGGGAGATCAGTATACGATTTTTTTCCCTAATATCTCAACATAACCAAGGGTCTTTAATTATGAAATATACATACAGAGCAATTTGGTTTTTAATATCACTTAGTGTTTTTTCACCTTTATGTTCAACCAAATCAATGAGTTCTTTTAAATGTTTGCAGATTATCGGTATTATCAACAAGTGACGCTGAATTGTGTAACCAAAACCAACATTAGCCGTAAACAGTCTGTGCAGATTTAGAGGACTGTAAAATTTATTGCTATTATTCGCTTCAGATTTCAGCTCCTTAGTCGCGTCCGTTTCTGCTACTTTGACGTGGTGGTCGGGCTTGTGATGAACCAATCGACCTATGCTGGCTGGAACAATCGTCCCTCAAGGTCCTGCCATACCAGACAGGTCGGTTGAAGAGCGGTAAGACTAAAAGCAGCAAACCCAAAGTTCGATGGCGAAGTCGTGCTACTGACTGTACTGAGGTGTGACGACCGTAAGGTGTTTCCCTTAGACAACTAGCATGATACGATGCTGTCTTCCCACAAAAGAAGGGTGGAGTTAGAAAAGGCCGACCCTAGAAATACACACCTCGCCTTATCCCACGGATTTCCGTGGGACGATATCCCATCTGACTGGTCACAATCACTTATTGTCCCAATATATAAGAAGGGGTCAAAATAATCCTGTGGTAATCATAGAGGGATTAGTCTAACTAACATAGCATCTAAAATACTTACCACAATAATTATCGGGCGCCTAACTAAGACTTGTGAACTGCAAACACGAAAAAAACAGGCCGACTTCAGGCCTGGTCGTGACTGTATCGACCACGAATTTACCATTCATCAGATTTAGAACACAGGTATTCTTATCGGCATCCAACAATGATAGTTTTTCCTGACTTAAAAGCAGTATTTGACTATGTAGACCGAGAGGTTCTGTGGCAGTGTCTGTCATTGAGAGGTGTACCTCAGAAGTACATAAACCATGTGAAGACTCTTTACTCGAACACTACCAGTCGAGTCACAGCTTATGGCGAACTGTCACCTGACTTCGCGACCACAAGTAATGTCTGACAAGGTTGTGCACTATCTCCATTTCTGTTCAATTTCATCATAGACCTACTGCTGGAAATAACTTTCTCGTCGAATGAACTTCCGGGGATTAATCTCCTACCAGGAGGTTCACTTATCGACTTAGAATACGCGGATAATATGGTCCTGTTTGGTGAAGGCTCTGATAAAATGCAGAATCTTCTGTCGGCACTGAGTAACAATGCCAGGATATTTGGGATGCGTTTCACCCCCTCTAAATGTAAATTGTTACTCCATGATTGGCCTACGTCAACACCTGAACTAAGGTTATGGAGTGAAGTAGTCGAACGCGTCGACAGCTTCACTTATCTTGGAAGTCTGATCAGCCCTAATGGGTTGGTGTCTGACGAAATCTCTTCACGGATTCAAAAAGCTCGTTTAGCTTTTGCCAACTTACGTCACCTATGGCGAAGACGAGATATCCATCTATCAATTAAGGGACGAGTATACTGCGCAGCAGTTCGCTCTGTTCTGCTCTACGGCTGCTAAACATGGCCATTAAGAGTAGAAGATACTCGTAGGTTACTAGTATTTGACCACAGATGCCTTAGAAATATTGCTCACATCTGCTGTGATAACCGAGTAAGTAATAGTGAGGTTAGACGCAGGGTATTAGGGAATGATGGTAAATCAGCTGATGAGGTGACGAATCTTCATCGACTTAGATGGTTGGGCCACGTGTTACGTATGCCTGAACATCGATTACCACGACGTGCAATGTAGGCCTGGTCCTACGTTGTCGCTGGCTGACCAGGTAAGTAATAGTGTGTTTAGATGCAGGGTATTAAGGAATGATGGTAAATCAGTTGATTAGGTTGTGGATCTACATCGACTGAGATGGTTGTGCCACGCATCGTCAACCACCGAATACCACGACACGCAATGCTGACTAGTGTTGGAGACGGATGGAAGAAAGTTAGGGGCGGTCAAACCAAAACATGGTATCAGTACATAAAGTCACTAACTTCTGGTCTGAGCCATGTTTGCAGATGCAGACTACCTGGTTGGGGTCCGCGCGACTTCGTTTGACATGGTTGAGAATCGACCGCAATGGTGCAGGTGTATACACTCGTTTTCTTCCCTTAAACTGTGAGATTAAAATCGCTTTATACCTTTCTTCCTACGGACTAATTCTTCCTTTCTGTATTATATCTTTATATTCAATCTTTCTTTTATATATTACTACCGTTGAAGTAACTACTTCTATGAATTTGGTGTTCATCTTGTTGTGCTAACGAGGTATGGCAACTTGGACTGATGCATATATGTGCGTGGTTCTACGTTGTAGCTGACTGACTGAAGCTCCTCAGTAACTCTAGTGTATTTCCTATTTTTAGTACCTTTTTAAGACTAGAAATCGCCGTCGTTATAAAACCATTCGCGTTGTCATTTCTCTTATCAATACGTCTTTGTTGGGATTTTAACGGAGTATGTAAGAATGGATTACACCAAGTTATATCTTGTTTTGACTATCAAGTTTTTGTAATTGCTGTTCTTAGTCTATATGAATGAACTTCAAACCTTTTTTATTTTCAGCAACGCCTTGTCGGCAGTATTCGTGGCACTGTGGCTCACGACTGAAATACTAGTATTAAGAAAATGTGACAATTTGCTGCTTCACGCGGATTACACACTAATATATATATATATATATATATATATATATATATATATAATATATATATATATATATATATATATATATATATATATACTGATGAAACATCCAAATTCTTATATAACGTAAGTTCCGTTTACTGCTATTCATTCATTGTTTTTTAGTTTATTTTTCTCATGACAAGTATTTCATTTTACATTGTATCTGATTGTATTAAGTAACGATTTCGGTCAAAGTTCATCAGCTATTCCAATTAGATATGTCTACATAATCTTGGATACGTGTTTTGCTTTGTCAATTCCCTGTAAATTCATATATTTATAACAGTCATGTGATATGATAACAGAGATATTGATATCAAAGAAATAGTTTATTATTAGATAAGTAAAACAGAAATATGTCAATAAATATACATTTATGTATGGTTTATAGACCATTCAATCATTCAGTCACTATTGCCTATTAACATTGTGTATGTGTATAATTTTTTATTTCAAATATTTACTAATTGTTTTTGTCATGTTATATGTAAATTGAAAATAGTACACAAGACGGCATATTAACTTGAAAATTTAATTATATTTTAAACTAGAATCGTTTCATTTACATCTCTGGATTAAATAAGATAACTTGAGATTGTAAAGTGGATAAATTTTCAAAGTGATAAATTGATCAGCTGTTACATTTATGTGAGGTATCTAGTTGTGTATATGATTGTTATTGGTGTTCTGCCGTATCTAGAAATTGTTTTGTTCATAGTTGCCAAATTACTTCGTATAAATTCCTTGGTAGAAGGAACAACTGCTACATAATGTTAAGTCAAAACAGATTATACAATAGAGATGATTTTTATTTGTTGACGATAGATGGAATAAAAACGTATTCGTGGTATTGATCGGTGAGGAAAATGTTAAAACTTCCATCCGTTTAGGTAGCTAGAACATTTACTCGGTACAAATATTTACAACGTCTCTTACTCGATCGTCATCATGTTAACCTGTGAAGTACGTTCACTGAGAAATATCTTTTTATTTTCAATAAATTAGCTGAATCAGTAATTTAAAGTTGACTAATATCAATCGAACATTAACGAGTCGATTTTATTGTTTATTTTATATTGTCTTGTGTAAATATTTAGCGTAAACGTTTATGCATATTAACATGTTAGCCCATTCTAAAAACAATGCCATATAACCAATTATCTTGTTCCGATTTCCGTCCACAAACAGTTTAATCAAATCGCCTTTTTTGGAGGGAGGGACAGAGAGCTAGAGAGGAAAATAAACAGTCACTATCTACCACTCAATTCTTGTGAATGATTTCTTTCTTTTCTTATGTTTCATCTTACAGTGTGTGTGATATTCTGTTATTATTTTTCTTTATTTTTATCAATGACAACATTCAGTGGTTTCCTATATATACATGTATGTTGTTAATTATCTAACTGCGCCAAATTATAAGATACACTTTTATAAATTACGTGAGAATTTCATTCCTCGGTTGATTTTTCTTCTTTCCTATTTGTGTCCATTCTTTTCATCTGTTCACTGTTGTCCATAAAATCAAATTTTTCTTTATGACTGTATTTCTGCTTATTGTTAATCTTTTTTTCCTTATAATACTTCAAAAAAATAACGATATTATTGTTGTCATTAACTCAGTTTAACTAATAGTTGTGCTGCTAAATTACTTTTTGAAATTTGTTACCAAACACATTCCAAAAATTTCACAAAAGGATACATGTATACATATTTGTTTTTTCTTGTGTTCCCTCTTACATTTTCGGTGCTTATTGTCATGTTGTTTGCTTTTGTTTTTTCTTTACCTGAAATTAAGGATTACACCATCCCTATTTTAAATGCTATTATATATGATGTGTGTACACATTGTGTAATTGGCAAATGATCACATACCCGATTGGAATCTCTTCACTCATCTCTCTTATTTTTTTAATATTCTAACCATTGTTATGTTTACCTTTGATCGTCATCATTTATCGTCATTAATAAAGAAAATAACCAATTGAAGGTTTTTCATAAATTTATCAATCGTTTAAATAATCTGTCTCCTCTCCATTTAGAAAAATTCGCAAACAAAAAGATGAACAGTTCTGGATTATTACATCAATTTTCGTCTTTCCTTTTGTTTACTAATTTTTAACCATTCTGTCTTGTGTTTAAGTCAGTTTATTCATTTGTCAGTCTGTGTTTAGCTTTATTTAATTAGAGAATGCATTGAAGTATTCGTGTCGAAGTTATTAATACCGATGTTTAATAATATTCTGTGTTCTCTGATTTTTCACGGGAAGAAGGTTGTAACAATTGTCAAAATTATGTTTCTAAACTTGTCAGTTCGTAAGGCAATCTAGTTACCCGGATTAGTTAAGTAGTGTTAACCAGTTTTGCGTTCATTCTCTTGGCCTTGATGAAAACATATATTCCTTAAATTATTGTGTAATAAATTAGATGACTCGATATTTCAGTTAAATGAGGTACTATTATGCATCTTTGACTGCAATTGGGAATAATATGTACTCGAATACCTCAGAGAGATGTCCTTTTGATAAATGCTAATCTTATTTGGAAGATTTATCTAAAACGCTTTTGGTTAATTACCTTTGTATATCAAAAGAATTAATTCGCATAGTTGTTATGCCAAGTTCTGCGTTGTTCATGAATGACAGACTAACATGGTTATTATGAATATTGCCATTCTTAATATTATATCTCAAACTAAGTTTGCGCATTATGTAAAAGAATTGTTATTAATTATATCACTGATAAAATAGTATTGTTAAAGGGCATCAATAAAGTCATTTTACGAACATTAGTTTATGATTTATTGAAAATATATACTTTAAAATCATCGCTATTTTACTGAAGCTTGTTGTGTCAGTGTGCCTTTCCTTTTGAGAACAGTCCTATAAGCTGTGAGCGATCTAAAGCGACGGAGAGCATCTAGGTTTGATGGACTAACCCTTGAGATTTTTAACGATGGTGGTCTAGTTTTAGCAGTTAGATTGACTGGAATGTTGGCTAAAATCTGAGGACTGGACGCAATCTCATCTGACTGGTGTCGATCGCTGATCGTCCCATCAACCAGTCTGGTTTCAGACCTGAATGTGGATGTGAAATCCTAATTTTCTCCTTTCGGCAGTTTCTGAGGCAGAAATACTTTTCGACACCTAACAATAGTTGTATCCCTTCACCTGAGGGTGGCATTCTCCACTGTTGATCTTAAGGTTCTATGGCAGTGTCTGTCACTGAAAGACTTCCCAAAAAGTATATTAACCTTGTGCAGGCTCTCTACTCGACCACTACTGGTTCGGTCAGAGCTTTCGGCGAATTATCACCGGAATCAGTTACTTCAAGCGGTGTTCGTCAAGGTTTTTCGACTTTTATTTAACCTTTTCATAGACATGCTTTCGGAGGTGACATTTTTATCTGACTTGTCAGAGAATGATCTTCTCTAGGAGACTCACTTGTGGACCTAGAATACTCTGATGATATATTTCGGTTTGGTAAAGATAGTGACAAAATCCAGTCTTCTGACTACCATAAGCAACAATGAATGCATAGTTTAAATGCGGTCCTCTCCATCCAAATGCAAAGTGTTGCTTTGGGATTGGCTTGCGCCAGCTCCTGAATTAGTGATAGGGAGTGAAGTAGTTGAACTCATCGACCGCCTCACTTATTTTGAGAGTCACATCAATACTTATAGTCTGGTGTCTGAAGAAATTTCAGCACAGATTCACAAGCTTCAGCTGGCTTTTGCCAACTTATGGAGTAGGCGAGATGACCACCTGTTAACCAAATGACAATTTTACTGCACAGCAGGCTACACTCTTTGACTCTATGAATGTGAAACACGCTCACTAGAAACAGAAGACAATCGTAAGTTACTGGTATTCGACTATAGATGTCTTCGAACCACTGCTTGCGTATTTTGAGAACACCGAGTAAGCAATATCTGGGTTGGGGTAAGGTACTAGGTAAGGATGGTAGGGTGGGAAATCCTCATCAACTGAGGTGGTTGAGACATGTGTTACGCATGCCCAACCACTGCCTATCAAGGTAGGAGATGTCTAGTGTACGAGTGGGCTGGAAGAAAGCTAGGGGTGGCCAAACGAAAATATGGCATCAGTCCATGAAGTCATTGACAATTGGACTGAGCCTTCTAGGTAGAGATAGAATAGCTGGTTGGGCTCAGCGAATCGTAACAAATGATTAGAGACATTGGGTGGCATCTTTGCTCCTTTTTCTCCTCACACCCGTTTTGTTGTATTACTACTACTACTGACACACTACTACAGGATTCCTCTTGATAGTTTTATCTCACAGTGCTAATGTGGTGTAGTGGTTTAAACTAACGTATGTAGGATTTCAGTCAAGAAATATTTACTCTCTTTTATTTGAAGTAGGCCCAAAGCTATTGAAAATATCCAAGCCCTGATAGCTATATATTTTTTCCTTATTTCACAATACTAAATATTGAATAATACGTGTACTGACAATAAGCAATTTTATTTTATAGGGAAAATTACACCAGGATAGATAAAAAGAAAATTCACTTACCAAATTTTCGTCCGTATAAATATTGGCTTCCGTGAAAGAGAAACTTTCAAGTACGCTAGGTAATTTATGATCTTGCATATTAGGATCAATTACTGTGCTTACAATCAGAAGGGGATTTATGGAGATTTCAGTATATTTCAAAGTTGAAATCACGAGTCAATTGAAGCTAGACCACCATTTCAACTTTGAAATATACTGAAATCTCCACAAATCCCCTTCTGATTTTAATCATATGCTCACTAGTGACTGACTTAAAGATACATGTCCTGGAGTTCTAGTGGGAAGCAGTGACCAGTGGAGTTCAACCACGTATGTTGTGAGATAACAACTCACTGAAAGCAATTGGTGAATGGTCGCTCATAATTCGTGGATAAGTTGAAGTTAGACAT